TTTAATGTTTTATGATAACGAAATTTGTATCCATCAATATTAAATAAAGTTTTATTTTTTTCGCTTAAAATCACCGAAGTCATTCTATAGTGTTTTTAGAGTTTAAGTTTTATTTAACAAAGATTATCCAAACGTAGGTACAACGTTTGAACAACACGATCGAAACCAAACTAAAATTATTATATGCTTTAAACTACGTTCAGCGTACATGTAATAGTTTAAACAAAACCGGACGCAATTCATGTAGTAGATTAGATAAGGCCGGACGCAATTCGTGTACTAGCTTATCAATTTTTTTATTTCGAGACGCAATTCGTGTGTAACCCAAAATCATGATGAATACAATTAATAATATTAATAATAATTGGGTATTGGGTATTAAAGTTGGTAACCCATTGATATTTCAGTTAATTAATAATAATAATTATTATTATTATTAGTTAACAGGTTAGTAGTTAGGTTAGTAGACCATCAGAGATCTATAATATTATGTTGAAGTATTTTTCAACAGTAAAACTATAAATATATAAAAATAAAAATAACAATATAAATTGTAAAATAGTCGTTTAAGTATGCATACTTGATTAGCTAAAGGTGCACTGGACTTAACGACTATGGTATATCTGAATATGCTGTGTTCCTGGCTCTCGTATATGTGCGTATAAAAGTGTGGTTTATAATTTATACATTGTGAATGTTGAAAGTGAAGCTTGATGGACTAATGATGTTAGCATTAATATAATAAGTAATAACACGACAATATGATTATGTATAAGTATATGTTTATACGTTTATTATGTATAAACGTACAACTGGACAATTAAACTGTGACAGTACACACACAACGTATACGCTCTGTACAACGATGCCTGTGCAAGTGAATATTACATACCTACATCAAAGGCCCTATATATATGCACGACCGAGGTCATGTTACATCCGTATACATCTCAATAAGAGAGTGAGTCTTATGCTCGTTTATAACTAGTTACTAAATTGTACACACGTGTCAAGGCTGACTACATATACTACATATTAATTGTATATTTCAACAGTGAATATAATATTATTGAATTATTATAATATAGTGTAATATAATATGAATCCGTAGACCCTTGGCTCTCATTATAATAAATTAAAATATAATAATTATAAAATAAAAAAATAATTTTTTGAGTACAATATTCAATATGATAATAATTCATAGTATTATATAGGTAAGTCAATAAAATGAATAATAGTTAGTTAATAATAATTAGTTGTCAAATAAGTTTTAATAAATTGAAATATAATAATTATAAAATAAAAATGATAATTTTAGAGTACAATATTCAATATGATAAGAATTAGTTGCCAAATAAGTTAGGTACCTACCTATAATAATTATAAAATAAAAAATAATGTTGTGAGATGCGAGTTCAATTATATAAGTCAATAAAATTCATAATAGTTAATAATAATTAATTGTCAAATAAGTTACCTATAATAATTGAACAGTTGACATTGTGCAGTCAAGCAGTAAGGTTGTGTTTCTCTTGATTGTGTTATTGCTGTTACGGTTTTCTCTGGTTCATATTCAATTTTAATTCATGGCTATGACTTCTAATAATATTCAAAATTGTTCATTGTGTTCTGTTTTGTTTGCCGAACTGGATACGCCTGTTAAATGCGATGGATGCATTTCAATATTTCATACTAAATGCACCGGCCTATCACCGAGTGAATGTAAAATGTCTTTCTTTAAAATCTCGTAATTTAAAATACTTTTGAGAATCCTGTAATAATGGATTACGTGATATTCCAGAATTAAAGACTTTAATAAACCGATTGCTTAGTGAAGTCAACGAACTTAAAATCAAAAAAATAATGGTAATAATGTATCACATGGTTCCGAAGAATTTATTATTAATGAGATCGGCGATCGTAATATGAGAGCCTCAAATCTAATATTATACAATGTTCCAGAGTCCAGCTCAGAAAACACCGTCGACAGAATTGCTCACGACTCTAATGTTGTAAGTAATCTTATTGATTCAATTATTTGTGGTGATAAAAATATTAAACCGGTAAAAATATGACGTTTGGGTACTCGTGTTCATGATAAAACTCGTTCAGTTAATGCGATATTTAGTTCATCAATTGATGTCTTTGAAATACTGAAATCTAAGAAAAAATTATTATCACTTAATCCGCCTTCCAATATTGGTATCAGCTCAGACCGTACATTGAATCAAATGAAAAAACTTCGTGAAGAGCTGGAGTCCCGTAGATCAAGTGATGGTGGAAACGAATTAATTATCAGATACATAAGAGGTACTCCAACAATAGTCTCCAGAAGTGACCGTCCTAATAATCGTGAAAAGAATTTTTTTTAATCAATATGTTTTAGCAAAATGTACGCGGTCTACTAACCAAAATCCCATATTTAAGAAATGCTTTACTCAATGTTAATTATGATATTATTTGGTTAAATGAAACTTGGTTCAATAGTAATGTTTTTGATGCTAAACTAGGTTTTAATAACTAGTTAATACAGAAATAATCGTATTTTAAGTCTTGGAAAAATTAGAGGTGGCGGTGTATTAATTACTGTAAAAAAAAATATCAGCTGTGAATTATTAACTGTTCCTTCCGTTGTTGGAATCCAGCAAATATTTTTAAATCTTATAGTTAACAATATAAAAATTATTATAGGTTGCGTTATATACCATCAGGTGCATCTTGTGATATCTATTCAAATCATTGTGATATAATTGAGTCTATTTATTTTAGATTTCCTGAACATTATTTTGTAATAGTTGGTAATTTTAATTTAAGTAGTTTTGACTGGTCTGTTGATCCAAATAATCAAAATCATAGGTCTGGAGCCATCATATTTAATAGTTATATAAAGTTTTTGAATCTTGAACAATGTAATATTATTAAAAATTGTGTCGGCCGAACACTAGATTGTTTAATGCTTAGTAAAAATGCCGAACTTACTTCGATTTCTTATTCGATTGACTCTCTGGTAAACACAGTTGATAAACATCATCCTCCTTTAGACGTGGTTATTAAATTTAAAAATTCCTTATTATAATAATTATTCCCTTGCATGGGCAAATGCTGAGCTCAGAAATTTGATAATTAAAAAAAAGTGTGCCCATAAAAAATACAAAAACTTTGTACTTCTTTTGCCAATTGTATAGAATTTTTTGAGCTTCGAAAAAAATGTAAGAATCAAATTTGTCACGATCAATACATTTCGGATATGGAAAATAGTTTACAAATAAACATAAAACCTTTTTGGAACTATGTAAATTCCCTGAAGAAAACGAAAAATAATGTCCCGGACTCTATGAATTATAATAATGTGACATCAACTAATATCTCTGAAACAGTTAGGTTATTTGCAGATTATTTTTCCAGTGTTCATGTTAACAGCTCTTTGTATTCTGATGATGTGGAAACGTTACCTACTCTTTCTTCTAACGATAATCATATTAATTTAAGCTCTTGGTCTATTGACCCTGATAAAATTTATGAATATTTAAATTCTTTAGATCCGCATAGAGGGACAGGACCCGATGGTATACCATCAGTATTTTTTAAAAAAATGTAGTTATGTACTTGTTAAACCACTACATTTTATTTTCAACAAATCACTGAATCTGGGCTATTTTCCGGATTTTTGGAAAAAATCGTTTGTGTCCCCAATTCATAAGGCAGGGGACAGACCTAATATGGCTAATTACAGGCCAATTTCCAAATTGTCCATTATTCCAAAAATATTTGAAGCTATAATAACTAAAAAACTTTCCATAATTGTCTCTCCTCTTATTTGTAAAAACCCACACGGTTTCAGGCCTAAAATGTCAATCTTCACTAACATCCTACTTTACCAATCCAAAATACTTAAAGCCTTAAATAATCGTGTTCAGTTAGATTCAATCTATACTGACTTCCAGAAAGCTTTCGATAAGGTTCAACATCACCTACTTCTTAAAAAAATATCTACATTTGGTATTCATGGAAACTTTTTAAATTGGTTATGGTCCTATTTAAACCGTCGAACTCAAGCGGTTAAAGTATCACATAGTGTTTCTCCCTACTTCTCAGTAAGTCTGGTGTACCTCAAGGTTCCCATTTAGGACCTCTTTTATTCATAATATTCATTAATGATTTGCCCTATATTTTTGATAACACGGTTGATATACTGCTATTTGCTGATGACGCAAACATTTTTTCTACAACTTATTCTCCATTAGATGCTTTAAATTTGCAAGCTAACTTGAATAAGTTTGTAATATGGATTCACCAAAATAGTTTATCTTTAAATTTAAACCCATGTAATGTTATTACTTTTTCACGCATCGATAAACCTATTAGCTTTGATTACAAAATTGATAATTGTTCCATTACAAGAGCAACTTCTATTAGATATTTAGGGATTATTATTGATTACAATTTGTCTTTCACTACTCACATTAATACTATTACTAAAAAATCCTTTAAGATGCTTGGCTTTATCAACAGAAACACAGTTAATTTTAAAAATATAAATGCCTTGAAAACTTTATTTTTTGCGCTTTTTAGATCTCATTTTGAGTTTGGATCAAAAGTCTGGTCACCTAGTTACATCACTTTAATTAATATAATTGAAAATATACAACTAACATTCTTAAAGCTATTGTGCTATAAATTAAATATTCCAGTTATTTCAAAGAACTCGTACAATATGCGAATGAGTGAATTGAACGTTGTATCTTGTGAAGTAAGAAGAAAGGTTGCTGATGTGTTTTAGTGGCCGATGCATTCTTTCAATATGCATATTTGTGTTTATTCCAGCATTTAGTCTGTGGCAATAAGCCCATGACTGCACAGATGGAGCATAATGCAGAAATGCATAGTTTCGTCATCTTTTGCCATTCGATTATCAAACATTGTCAAGCATTGAGGAACATTCTACGAAAGGCTTCAGCATCTTGTTCTTGAAGTAATGTTCGCAATACTTTATATATTTAAACCTGTTTTGTTTTGTTTTTAATTTCATTTAAATTTTTTCTCCAGGCACGATCTACATGCCATGTACAATAGAGCCTATGTTTCGCTGGTTTCATTTCAACAACCAAAGCGTTATAAAAACTTTCAGCCATATCTGACATGAAGACATTGGACTGAATAATACCGGTTTTGTCCCTTATCTCAGCAAAAAATATTCTCAAGACCGCTTCATCAACTCGATTACTAATCATAAAAGAGCATGGAAATCCTTCTCTTAAATCATCAAGAACCATGTTTGTTGTCAAATTGAAATGTTACGAATTCATCCCATGCAGTTTCATCGATACAAATAACATAATTTCCAAATTTGTTTAACATGGATTTTGATCAAATTTTTTGACATGCAATGTCTGTGTGGATAGTTCAATTTCATGTTTCCAATTGTTAAAACCATCAATGCTTTCAAATTCAAAACTATCTACACTTTGTATAATATTATGATCTTTTTCGTAATGTATATTTATATTTTTGTATGTGGCAGTAAATAAACACATGGCACATTGGACTATAATTTCAATTGTTGGAGCAACTTTTTTATGTTCAATTAGATTTTTTTGATCACAATGTGACTTTGTACACTGGTCACATGTAAATATATACAAATTAATATTTTTCTGTTTTTTTGTTGGTGCTATTTCATCCAACTTTAAAAGTGGATGATTTGTTTTTATGTGAGCTCTTAAGTTTTTTAAAAATTTAAACTTTTTCTCACATTCTATGCATTTGAATTCATTTATGTCTGACATGTTCTTAAAAACCTAATTGAACAAAATAAAATATTGATGCATATTTATTGTATTTACACAAATACAATTTATAATTTTATAATTTGTTTATAAATATACATTTATTTTGTGAATTTTTATTTTATTAAATACTTATAACAACCATGAAACCATTTTAGAATTCCTATTCAATTAGCACATCAAAGACATTTATAATTTGACAAATTAGAATAATAATTAGATATTTATTTCTTTATCTAGACACGCGGTAGCGTGTCAAGCCAAGTTCTAGCTAACAGAACTGGCGAGCAGCACCGTGTGTAATATTACACGAACCATTTGGAGCCACTTTTGACCCCCTCATAACTCAAAAACTATTCCACATAAACATGTCAAATTTGGCTCATATATTGAGACTAACGAGATACATATGTGCTCTAAATTTCATAAATATACTTCAAACCGTTATTTAGATATTAACGTCCGAAAATCGTCATTTTTATCACTGACTTACCTATAGATCAAAATTCTAACCCAGTTCCAGATGACCTAGAAAGTTCAAATTTGGCATACAGATAGGTAATTAGGTAAATACAAAGGAAAAAATCAGAAACTTGAAAATTTTTAATTTTTAATTTTTTAATTTTTAATTTTTTAATCAATTGATTTTATTATAATTTTGCAATTATTTTATCTATTATGTTTAATTTTTCAATTTATTAATGAATTGCCTCTAATTTAATGTAATGTAATGTAATGTAATGTTGACTTAAATAACCTTTCCCGTATCGCCGCTCCAAAAATACGACTAGCCGAATACCTATGTGTCGATATTGTCGACCCGCGCGCAGCAACATACTTTTTTTTCTATCTATGTATGTAATTAATATTATTTTTTTAAAATATTACAATTAAAATAATTAAATAATTATTCTTGCAAATTATGAATTATCCACCCAACAGTAGAAACTACAGTCAATAAAATTATGATAATTAAAAATATACTCAAAAAGAGTTAAAATAATTGTATATTAATTTTACATATATTTTATACTCTGTATATACAACGGAAAATATTTTATAATAAATATTATTATTAATATTAGTAACTGAATTATATTATATAGTAATAAACTTTATTTATAGAATACGTCATGGCTAGGTTAGGTTAGGTTATAATAATTTACATACAAAAAGTAATGATATCCCACCAAAAACATATATGTAAAATGAGAGCCAAGTTCAATACTATAATATATGCCTTGGTTGTTAACTTCAACGACAAAAGAAGTGAGATCTAAATGGGTACCAAGTTAGGATAATATATTGAAGCCTAAGGTCTGACTTGGCTACGAATTATATATTATAGCATTTGCAAGTTCTAAAGCTTTGAGTTCTTATTTTATTCTTCGGAAAATCATCTTCACTATTCCATTACTGTTTTAGTAGGTACCTACTTATAATAATAATTCGTATATGAAAAGTAGCCAAGTCACACCTTAGGCTTCAATATATTATCCTAACTTGGCACCCATTTAGATCTCACTTCTTTTGTCGTTGAAGTTAACAACCAAGGCATATATTATAGTATTGAACTTGGCTCTCATTTTACATATATGTTTTTGGTGGGATTTATAATATACTAGGGTTGCCCCAATTAAATTATGAAAGCACTGAATTTCTTTAATTTAAATTAAGATTGAAAACAAAATAATAATAGAATTACAATGCATTTATAATACAAATACAATTAAATAATAATAATCCATCATCATGTACAATGTATTGTTTTTAAATAAAGTGTTGGACAAAATAGGAGTGGTGACAAAGACAAGTGACCGCCCTGAGGAACTTCACAAGGAACATCGAAGTAATCCGATTGCACATCAACCTGAGAGTAACCTTCTTAGGCCTCCATAACATAAATAACAAAAGCCATAAAAAAAATAAACAACAATTTTATCTAAATGCATAGGTAATAGGAGAAATCAAACACAATTAAAGAATATTCCAGTTCATCAAGAAAAGGGTCATCCTTTAAAACATATAAACTCATGTAGTGAAAGCTTTCACAATATTGTACATATTTTAATCAAACAAGCAAATTTTTTAACGATTAGTAAAAACTCAAACACAAATATTTTAAGAAGTACTGGATGTACTGAGTTTATTTTACCTGTTGAATATTTAAAATGAGATGGACTAATATACTTGAAATTACTGTATTAGACTTAGGAGAACCTATTTATAATACATTATTATACAACTTGGTTCGAAATAACTAAATAACGTAAGGGAAAGAAATATATATTTTTTTTTTAAAAGTGATAATAAAATTGGTGATAACGGATCATGATAACGAAGTCAGCCATCTTGCAGCCATTCGGATTCCCTGTCGCTAGACACTTGTTACGAGGACGAGGCGCACTTTCATGTTGATAGACTACCGTGCGTGATCCGCTATCCAGTTGCGTTCCGGTTGCTTCAAATACTTATCGGTACAAAAATGAAGGTGTACTCGCCGCGCCGCTACGTACGCTCTGTGTTATCATTCCCATATTATGTTACTTACAGTTGTTAAGAACCCCTGATTAGTACATATTTTATTTTTTATATATCTATATATGTTGTTAACATATCATAATGCAGAGTGTGTGTCGTAAGACGCTGCCACCGTGGGAACCGCTGAATAAGGGTTTTTTTTTGAGACGGGGCACCGTCACGACAACACACAGGGAGTCAGTCAGTCGTAGAATTACCAGTGTTCGAATAACAGTTTGTAGCTACACTTAATTTTTACTACCAGAATTAATAAAAATACATTAATTATTTTAATCTTCAATTGGTGCGTACGTTTATTTTGTGTTGTGTGTAAAATCCATAACACAGTAGCGGATTTAAGGGGAAAGACCCTATAGGTTTTTAATTTTTTGGACTCTCTGGATTAGCATAATATATGAATTTATGAGCGAAAAAAAAATAGTTCTTATTTAAAAAAAATATTATGCATGACCCTTTTATGAGTTTAATTTTTTACATAACACTATATAACTAAACACAAAATACAATGTTCATATTTTTATTCTTATTTGTAAATTAAAAGAAAATATGGAGTTTGTGTGTACCTACCCGTTTTAATATTACAAAACTAATTTAGGTACAAATAAAACTTTAAGACACTTCTGGTTTCTTGAACCTTGACTTTGTGATTTCTTTTCAGAAAATAAATTAATCGATGTTCTAAATGTATTGTTATATTTTATAAACACAATGATATTTTCAAATGTAATTATTTTGGGGAAAATGAATTTAACCTACTGTAGTGGATATTAGAATACTAAAATCAGTTACTTTGATCACAATAATATAGGGCTGACGGTATTTTCGGTATTTCAGTATACCGGTCTTTTGAAATTATTTTGATAAACGGTATACCGTAGAAAACCGTATATGTGGTATACCATTGAAACCCGATTATATACACGAGGACGTTTTTCTATTTATAAAATTACCTACATTTTTAGTACTGGGAATTCTAGTCCTTATCATCTATATAACAATAACTATGATTGTTGGCTGATGACTGTTGAGTAAAACGTCGGCACCGCCTGTAGTTGTGTTTCTCGTTAATGGTTTCATATTATTGTGTTTCAATGTTTGACAATCGTCCTTTGTGCGTATAGCGTGTAGCGTGTTTATTTTTTATTATATACTTGCATTTGGTATATTTTGTGTTTGTGTGTCCGTTCATGGAAACTTTGGTTCCGTTCATGTACTTACTTCAAAGTTCAAACATTCTACCTACTAGTACGTATCTTTCGCAAGTCCATCCGTCTGTCGTTGGAGGTAACTACAGGTAAGTAACCCAGACTCGTTGTTTTTATAGTTTTATAAAATAATTTCGCCATTTCCATTACATCCCACCATTTGTATTACCTATACGTCTATACTTCTCAATTGATTCCGATATCGAACTTCGGTTCAATTATCGAAAGCTATATAGGAAATTAATGAAGCATTTTTGGTATTAATAACCTAACCGCCTTATGCCGTGGCGAGTACTAAAATAACTATGGTGACCAGATATTAAAAAAAAAAAATAGGTACAAAGCCCTTAGGTTTTATTATTTGACTTAGATTAAATGTAACTTTCATAACAAAACAATGGGAAAAAATATTAGTACCTATTTTAAATATTTTCGAGATCTGTGCATTTCTTTAAGTACCTAACTTTTGATTTGTTTTTTTTTTACATATTAAACATTTCATGAGGCTGTACTCTATAGGTTTTAGAAAATGTGTTTAAAATATACCTAATTGCATTATCATCTGCAAATCTGCAATATAGAATTTTCATTATTTAATATTTCATAATTTGTAAAATAGTCCTACCTAAGTGTCATGTTAGCTCGGACATCGGATCTATCAAAATCTTTCATACATGGCTGAGGTCTTAAGTAGTTTAATAAATTAGGAAATATCTCTTATTTCAGATGTTGTTTAATATTTTTAAAATTTACTTCTTTCATCATATTTTTCATAAGGTACATTTTACGGTTAAGTAGGTACGCTACACTAATGCAATTGCATATTGGATAGCCACTGATATGCAACCATATTACTCAGTGTCAAAAAACGGTTTTAAGTATCTTATATCAGTTTTGTGTCCAGGGTATAAAGTTCCAAGTCGTCAAGTGTTTTCTGATAGCAACATACCGGCTCTATATTATGAAGTGAAATGTAGAATAAGGCAAGAACTTAGTGTAGCTGAATTTTTTGCTCTAACATTCGATTGTTGGACTTCAAATGCACAACATCCATATATAGGAATACATTGATAAGAACTGGATTTTGCAAACATATTGCTTAACATGCACCAGCTTAGATGTTGACCATACATCTTTTAATATACGTGATATCATTGAATCGACATTAGTAGATTGGGATATTCAAATATCAAAAATTTCTGGGGCAACAACAGACAACGGAACAAATGTAATTAAAGCTGTTGAACTATTAGGAATCAACGGTACCTATTAATTGTTTCGGTCATACACTCAATAATGGTGTTATGTCGTCAATGTCATTAATCCCTGTTCAAATACTATTATCTAAGATTTCTAAACTTAGATTTAAGTTTCATTACAGCTCTAAACTGTGCAGATTACTTAAAGAAGCTCAACAAAAACATAACCTGCCTCAAATTGTTATGCCTGCATCCTGTGTAACAAGATGGTGGACAAGCTTACCAGCACTGCAATTCATAAGATATCAACAAGAGGCTCTTTTTGATGTTTTATACAAATTCAAATCCAACAGTATAAAATATCTCCCAAACTGCAACGAGCAAAAGATTATACGTGTAATCTGCAATCTGTATGAACCTCTTAACCCTTAGCTACACGCGCCATTTTTTTTTCAATAATTTCACGCGCGGTGTATTTTATACACCAATTTGTTTTACGCAGAAATCAATGTCGTATTGCATATATATTTGACTTTATTTACTAATAAAAGAACAAAGTACTACTTAATATTGTTTTAAATTTAATTATAAAAAAAAATTTAATAAAAAAAAATTTTGTTATTACTATATTATAATTGATAAAAGTAAAAATATCTTATTGTCAAATAATTTTTACAAACTTAAATTAAATCTTACTCACTATCCTTACTTATTATACATCTTTCACATCTGACAACAGCTTTTACGTGCTCTTTACATGTAAACTTCTGACATGAAGAACATTTTATTGTTGTCACCCTATTTTTGGCTCTTCCACACAAATAACACCGACTTCGTATTTTTGTTGGAGGTTCTTGAACGTCCACTTCTTTTGTTTCATATTTTGATAAAAAATGTTTTATGTCAGAAGGGAGATTTGCCATCTGTTATCTTTCACTCAAGTGATTATTCATCAAATTCATAGAAAGTGATTTTAGAAATGACCTCCTATTCTTATGTTTTTTTTCTATTTGTGTATTGTTATATAGAATATTTGCATTTATACCTGCAATGTTGAGAAGTTGAAAAAATATTGATAAAGGCCATCTGCGTGTTCTCCTAGAAACTGAATAATTCCCACACATTTGGTCGACAGTGTCCACGCCTCCTTTTGTGGAATTGTAAAAGTGTATAACTTCAGGTTTTTTTGTCTCACTATTTACTGACGTATCATTATGCATAGTTGATAATAGAATTACAGCTTTATTTTTTTTAGGAGTATATGATGTTATCATTTTTTCTTTTTGAAATCCAAAAAATGAAGAATTAACTGCTTTATTTTTATGTGGTTGAAAGTCTACTGGAATCTCCTTTTTATTTTTTCTCAATGTTCCTACTATAGTTGTTTGCTTTTTTAGTAATTCAGTAGCCAAGGGATAACTAGTATACCAATTATCACATGTTAGGTTACGATTTGATCCCGTTACATTGTCAAGTAATCTCATGACAATATCAAATGGCTTGGAAGACATATTGTAAGGCCCGTCTGGTTGCGTCCCACAATAAATTTCTAAATTCCCCGTATAAAAAGATTTTGCATCAACCAGTGCAAATATTTTCAAGCCATATTTTGCAGGTTTACTTGGTATATACTGAATAAAACTACAACGACCTCTAAATGGGACTAACATTTCGTCAATGGTCAAATATTCACTAAGGCAGTAACTTGTTTTACAATTATATACAAATTGATCAAGCATTGACCTCACAGCAGTTAGTTTGTCCTCAGATCTTCTATAATTTCTAGTAGTTCTATCGTCGAATCTCATTGAATTCAAAATAAAAAGAAAACGGTTACAGCTCATACAAGCCCGAAAAACTTCAATTCCAGTACCATCTGTAGCCCAAAGTTCAAGAAAGTTGGTGTGATTCCCTTTTTTTATTCCTGACAAAAACAACAAACCAAAAAATGCCATCATTTCATTTTTTGTTATAAATTTGGCATCTCTATCTCTTTTATAGTTTTTTTGAACTGTCGAAATATACATATTGGTGTAATGAATAATTTCATCAACCATTTTGTCTGAAAATATTATGTGGAAAGCCCCTACTTCATTTTGAATTTCTTCAGTTGTAAATTTTGAACCAGGTGTTATATTTATTATATTTTTTTTTTTAGTTTTAGCGAATTTACTTGTCAATGGTGTCTTAGACCATTTTGTTGCTTTATCTTTACCAATAAAATATTCAAGCTCAATATTATCGTCATCACTATCGGAATCCTCAAATGAACTGTATTCCAAGCACGAGTTACTGTCATGATCACTATTATTTACTATTCTTACTTCATTGTCGTCTTCATCACCTCCCACTTCTTCTTCCGATGATTCCATATCTAATATGTCATTCACATCATATGGCGTAAGCTTTGACCTAGTATAATAATAATAATATGATTAAATAATATACTGATTATATAATAATTAAATATTAGAAAAATAATACGGAATTATCTGTCAATATAAGACGTAAAAATTACTTACATTATTACTCGTGTGGTGTATTTCGTTCACCGATACAAAAATATTTTATAAGGAGCTTGTTTGTGCGGCTACAAACATCAAATGACGACTGAAATGGATTAATAACTATTACATATTAGATAAGAAAAGGTTAGATTAGGAGAATAACTGAAAACAAATAAAAACTAAAATAGAACAAGATAAACAAAAATATTGGTGTACAAAGTACACCAGCGCGTGTAGTTAAGGGTTAAAACATTGGGAGAACATATGAGTTCTGAACAAGTAGTTTGCAGCTTCTTCAATATGGCCCATTTATTTAAAGCTTAAAGAATCTATACTTAAAAACAACAGTAACCCAAGATATACATGTGATCTTACGCAAGCTGAAGATCATGATAATTATGGTAATACCGAAGATATTTTTTAAACTCCATCTCAATGTGCACTGTCAACTGGTGAAATAACCTCTTACCTCAATAATAATGAAGTTGATTCTAACAACAGTGATGTAGATAACTATGCAGGTGTTAGTACTGATACCTCCTCAGACACAATGTTGAATCACTTAGAAGGTCACATAAAAACAGCAATTAAAACACCACTTTTTAAACGGTGTGATAGTAATCAAGCAAGACAAATTTTACAAAAAATAAGTTTTCTAGATCCAAGATACAGAAGTCATTACATTGAATCACCTCAAAAAGATTTAATTATAAGTTTAATTAAACAAGAAATGGACGACATTGGACACCAAGCAGAAGTTGATGAGCACTACAAAAACACAAAACACTAGCAGTTAGTCTAATAATTATTGAAATAATAAACAATATGTATAACTAATTTTAACTGAATGCTTACAATATTATAGGATTGGCTGCATTTTTGGAAAACCTTTCAAGTATACTTGTTGAAACAAATACAATATAAGATTTGAATCAAATAGAACTTGAAAAATATTTATCATTGCCAAGTGTTGGTTTAAATTGTAATCCCTTACAATGGTGGGAAACGTTTCAGTCCGCATTTCCCACGGTGGCAAAGTTGGCTAAAAAGTACTTGTGTATACAAGGCACAAGTGTGCCAAGCGAACGAATTTTTAGTTATGCTGGCAATGTCATTACCACGAAAATATAATAGTAAGGACTGGCTACTGCTCGACCAGTGTGATTCGCTTATTGTCACCATTTCAATAATAATCCGCTCAGTGCCGGCGCTAGGTATTGCGGGGCCCTGGTCATAGGTAATAGCCTTTAGGTTCTCAGAGAGTAGTGAAATTTTAGCTTTTTTTTAAATCATGATTTTAAAAAAAGTACTGTTTTTATATATAATATAGGTAAATAATTAAATTTAAATAATGCTCTGTCAATTCTTAATGAATCAAGATATTTTAATGAAACAAAAATCAAATTAAAGCTTATTTTTATCTTTGTTATTCACTTGCCCCATATATAATTTTATGTAATACTAATAGCAAAAACAATCCGATTTTGCACTTGCCCCATGAAAAGGGGCGAGTGTGACGTTTTAAAATTAAAAAAAAAAAAAAAAATTATTCTTAGGTGAGTGATAATATAACTTTGTTGACTATAAATTCCAATTATGTATATCTAGAGGTGTTACATTATGGAACAATAACAACTTTAAGTTAAAAACAAAAAAAGTATTGTCAAATTCAAAATTAACTTTCCATTTTTGCGTCACACTTACACCCCACTTTACCTTACCTACTTGTGTAAACGGAGACAACACAAAATAATAAATTGTTTAATATCTAAGTACGCGACCGCTGCAGGCAGAATAATGCAATATACAACGGTAGACCACGGTATTCGTATTAAGATGATAATTAAAAATCACGGGGCCCTTTAACAAGCGCGGGGCCCTGGACAAATGTCCCATTTGTCCTCCCCTAGCGCCGGCACTGAATCCGCTAGGGTCACTACTATGCGTTCGCCCTACTGCCGCCAATGAAGAAGCGCAATAATTAGCGTATACAACCAAGTAATGCTTCAAATTTACCAACTTCAAGTTGATCTGCAATTAATTATACCATGTTGTACAATATATTATAGTATAAAATATAATATATTTTCATTTTTCATCGATTAAAAATAAAATAGGAGTTATTATTATAATTAATAATTATTGAAATTCGGGAATAGGATTATGCAAACATTTTGATAATTATTGTCATACTTTTATTTTTTTTATTTTTTTTTTTATAATAATAATTTATTATCGAAACAACGAAATGACATACAGTGTAACAATTTAACATATTTATTTTATAAATCATAATATTGAATACATGAGTAGTCTGATGCAGTTATTATGTTAAGGTTAAGTAATAATTATTTATAATATTTATTACAAATTTTCATTATAGGTAGGTTCATCAGAAAATATAGTTTAACATATTGCAATTATAATATATTGTACCTAATGCATACTTGTTAAAACTAAATGAAATCAAAAATTAAAATAATATTCTTTCTTAAATATAAGTTTTTGGCGATTAAGACTTCGTTCAGCACGTGTACAATGTTCACACTTTTTAGAACCTTCCAAAATATATTGGCACATGAAGTGTTTTTGTGTACTAGCCAAGTCAATGAAGGTTTTTTGACTTAGAATATCGTCATCTACTTTAAATCCATTGCAAATATTTGTACTATCAAATGTTTTTAATAACTCTTCTAATTCTGCAATACTATATACTTTTTCCAGGCCAAATTTAAGTGTATCAATTTCTTTATTCATAATATAACATTTAAAATTTAAGTTATAATACCTACACAAACTCTTTTAAATATAAATGGAGTAGGTATTTCAGTTGGCTGTTTTTCTATTTTAAGAGAGTAATAAGAAAACATAATGAGTTCTTTTTCAATGACATGTGTACTCCAGCCGTTAGGAATAACTACACTGTTAATATTTTCCTGAATCATAGAAAATGACAATAGTTGGGTATTATTTTGAAAAGTAATTATGTTTTCTTGATTAATCGGATTATTATTTTTTTTAATATAATCAGGATTTTATCTCAATAAAGGGGGTCTTCTATGTTTTAATGGCCTTGATAAATATTTTTTACAGTTTGAGAAAATAGATGGCACTGCTTTTTCTTTAAGCCGAGGAGTTTTATATGGTGCCTGTTAGGGACAAATCAATAATAAATAAATTATAGATATCTAATATTACACACAAAAAGTTTAAAATAAATATATGAATCACTAGTAAATAATCTAGTTTTAAAATGTATGTATATTAGCAGATCCATCTTATAATGAAATATAATTAAACTATAATACTAAAATAAAAAAATTACTAAATGTTATTATACCTACTATATATTTTAATATAGTCACGACTAGTTAGTGGTACAATACCTCTACGACAATTTTTCCATTCAAGTCTGTCATCACTTTTGTCCTTATTATATCCTCATCGTGAAAATGTAATTCACAAACCACTTGCCTTGGTTTAATTACAAAATCTTTCCTTGGTATAGCTTTTTTCCACTATCCGAGTTTAGCTGGATCTTTTGGGACAGTAACAAAATGGTGTTTATTAACACAAGAATCGTAACCAGATTTACATCCTGGTACGATGCATCTGTGTCCCGGCATAATAAATACGGTAGGGCGTTTACCACTAAAAATCAAAAAATACGTTTTTGGTATCAAAATTTTCAGAAAAATCACGAAAATAATCTGGTAAAACGGCGTATACGTCTACGAAAAAATAAGACAACAATACCGAATACAATATATCCAGACGCCCTTTTAAACATTAAAACAATCTACACAAAACTGTTGAAAGGGCTTATACCACATCGAATGTTTACAATCTACACAGTTTGTGACAATAATTACGTTTTTAGCTGTTTGTATATTATCAGATTGAACTAAGTGGTTTTTCTAGGTTACAGACTGAACATCACTTGATAACAAATTTCCCTCCAATTTTATAGTATCAGTTAACAATAAACCACGATTTAATAGATACTATAAAATTATACTATGGAGTATGGTTATGACGAGAAAAGCAATATTTTTTTATTATGTTTTATCGTCATTTAGTATTTACTATTGAGTCTTTAGTCTTTTAGGTTGTATAATATATTTTAAATAATAATGAGTAACTCTAGGAGTAAAAAGTTATTGTCACTATGAAATGGACTGTAATGGTCATGAGAATCTTACTAAAGAACTTAATAATAGTTATTCCTTTAATAATGATAATGATAAAAATGACTTTATAGACATAAATGAAATAGATACATTTATTTTTATTAATCAAGATTTAAGTAATAAAGTTAACAATGAAGATAATATTGTCAACCAAATAGTGTGCAGTAACCATGAGATTGAAGACACTTATAATGTCAACGAAGTAGTTGTATCTCAGGAAGGAACTGATACTTTTGATAATGAAAAAGCCAATTCTGAAAACATAACAGAATTTGATGATGAAAATACTCCAGACATGTTTGGGAAAAAAAAAAAAGTAATAAACGAAGTCGCATTGTAAACAAATTTAATTATGAAAATGGAAACAGTTATAAAAAAAGTAAAAAAAAATAAGGAGTTTGAAATTTGTGCCAGTAAGAAAATGAAAGAAAATCCTTGTTTTGAAAGATTATGTACAAATGAATGTACTGAAATAATGAAAGATTGAAAATTTTTCATAGATATTGGAAAGAACTAGATCATAGTGGAAAACGTGATTACTTGTTAAGTTGTATGGAAATTAGTAGTATATATTTGTATGTTCTGAGCACCTTTTTTACAGGGAGATTTCATCATTTCAAGGGGGCATTTCTACATGCTCCACCGTGTAACACATAATCTCAAAAACCCTAATGTATGTTCTGAGCACCTTTTTTACAGGGAGATTTCATCATTTCAAGGGGGGCATTTCTGCATGCTCCACCGTGTAACACAAATTGTACACAAGTAAAAGTTATGTGTTGTGTACAGCACAAGTACACAACACATAACTGTGTCTATATCATTTTGTTACACAAACAAAATAAATATGTTTTTACCATCAATGTATTACTCATAAGTGTTGGCAACACTGAACTTTTTATAGTCACTCGTACTAAAATTAAGTTAGCTATACATTTCAGTAACGAATAATCCGTTGTTAAACCAAGTTATGCTTTTTATTTTATTGTCTTGTTTCACTTATACATTTATTTTTTAAGTAAAAATTTCCAATTTAATGTTTTTTCTTTAAAATAAAAAAAAAACATGAACTTTCAAAAAACCACCAGCAATTATTCTTCATTAGTTTCTTTAATACGAAACCAACCATATCCAACATATCCGCAATATGATACATTCACATCAAGATTAAAAACATATAATATATTTTCGTCAACTATACCTCAAAACAAATATGTATTGTCTGAATGCGGCTTTATATATACAGGGGTTCAAGATATTGTGGAATGCTTCTCTTGCGGACTTGTATTACATGACTGGAAGAAAGATGACATTCCATGGATCGAACACTCGAGACATAATTCCAAATGTATTTATGTATTATTATCGAAATTTAACCACTTTGTAGAAAACATAATAACCAAATATGGAAGAACTTAATGTAATTGTGAAACTAAATATGTCACTCGCTCAACTGCTTAAACGTATGAACGATATTAAAATAAAATTTTGTATTTTATTAAAACAGTTTAAATGTGTTATTATTCCATTCTATATCTTGTAAATACGTGACCTAATGGATAAGACGTGAAGTTTTTAATTCAATATATAAGGTTCAAATCTAGGTAACAGATGTTTGTTTCATTTAATTTGCAGGAATAATACGAGATATATAATTAATAATAAGCTCCTTCCCTCCACACTTATCAATTAGGTCACGTATTTACTTTTTTGAAATTGTATTTAACTTTTTTAGTGTAAAACGTTGTTGTATGAATAAAATATAATCAGTATACAATTAACACTCTGATAATCATAGTATAAATTTTTAAAACAATAATCGCCAGAACGAACAAAAATATATCGGTAAGTATTATAAGCTCGCTACAATATGGCTGCATCCGAATTGCGTGCAGAAAAAAAGAACTATGTTTGACAACAACCGAATTGCGTGCGCGGTTTTTTCGAGACACAGCCGAATTGCTTGCGTGGTTTCTTCATGACAGAGCTGAATTGTTTGCGCATATTTTATTTAAAGACAACCGGTTTTCACCGAGCTGGATGTGTCGGCCGGAGAATCATTTATCTGTATTTAATATGATAGCTATATATGGGTATTATCATTGATTATAAATACTAGTATGTACTAGTAGTAACTAGTACTATGTATTGAATGGGACTTTTCTGTAATAAGATATAAGCTGATAATTTTATAAATAATATTAAACCATCTATATTCTATATGAAATTGGAATTGAATATCAGTTGATAGTCAACACTCAATCGCGACCAAAATGGAAGTGAATCAAATGTTAAGCGAAAAAAATTAAAAGTTATATACTTATATATAATTAACGGGTATAAATTTCATTTTCAAAAATTTTTAAATAACAACATACAGAGATGGGCATGTACTAAACATTTGTGTAAATCTTTTTTTAAGCTAAGTGAAAATGGTAAAAAAATTTTATTGTATTATCACTTGAATTAATATTGTTTTAATAATTTGTATTCGAAGAGTAAATGTATTCTTTAATTATTTAGTGTAAATAAATCTGGCACACCGTGCGGCATCAACACTGTATCTCGCACGCAACTCTGCTCTGTCACAAAAAAACCGCGCACGCAACTCAACCCTGTTATGAAAAAACCACGCACGCAATTCGACCCAGAAAACGATTTTCACACGCAACTCGGAACCGCCGTACAATATGATTTCACCGATTGTCTCAAGGTCAGAATTTGAAATTCGTCAATATGGAAAGAAAAGTGTAACAGTAGGTTTATTAGTTAACAAAAAGATTTCGATTGTTGTAATATTAAAATGTATGATTACTAAAAAGAGTTTAAGCCTCGATCTAGACCAATGGCAATCATTAATGTGTGAAAATAATTATAAAGCAATTATTGATAATCTACAAAACCCATGTAAACGTGTAAGAATAACTGATAACTTAAGCTATTCCGTTAATGTGAAACAGTCTTCAATCATATTATATTCTAAAGGAAAATTATATAACTTCATCACATGTCGATTTGCAAAGGCTGAATCAGCTTGGCGCTTGTATCGATCTCTATATAATCGAGAAGCAGAAAAAATTACCATGTTACCAGAAGACTTTTGACACAGCATATGCATTAATTATGGCAGATATTAATGGGTTACCCTCTTCTTGTTGACGGAATGAATTTACAAACTCATATATTCAGAATTATAACTTAAGTTATACTAATATAGAAACTAATGATATTTCTTTTATGTATGAATTATTACAATATCATTATAACTCATTATCAAATATGATATTACAAGCGTTAGAATTAGGTACATCAGCTATTAACCTGTAATTTATTTTTACACATCATGACACTAAATCATTTACACTACTTTTGTATCACTTTTAAAAATAAATGTACGATTAGTTAATATATTTGTTTTTTATTTTAATTTTCAACAACCATTAAAAACAGATTTATTATGATTTTGATTTTTTAATACATCCTATTTTCTTGTTTGGATTAGACATGAACCGTGTAAATATTGTTTGTATGATGTTGGATAAATCGTTTGCGAGTCCTTGATCCTTTGCTAAATCAGTTATCGATACTTTTACACTGCACTCAGCTTCTTTCCATCTATAACATCATTAAAATGATAAGTATTTTACATTACAAATATATATACATACAGGCACATTACTATATTATAAGAACCTTTTAACTATTACATACATCAACCAATGAATTTCTTAAATTATTTTTTTTTTTTAGGAGTTAGTCATTGTAAGTTGTATTCATGTAAATTCTAAGAATCATATATTTATATAATATATATTACCTGTCTGTAGCAATAAGATTTTGAATATTTTTTATTTTATAGTGATTTATTGTCCAGTAATCACTACATACTTCGTTATCAAATGGTAATTTTATGTTTACTATTTCATCACTTTGTTTCACCATCATCGAATTAATAAGTTCATTATTTACTTTCACATCTTTAATTAAAGGACCAATTCTATCCAGATATGAAATATTCTAAAAAAAAAAATAATTATAGGTATTAAGAATAATAATAAAAATTGTAATTTTATTTAATTTTTTTTATTATACTGTACATTTTTTAATTTTTAATTTTTTTTTACATACTTTTTTAACTTTTGTTTTGCACATATTTTTTTTCAATTTCAAATCTCTTTTTGTTTTATTTTGTTTTTTTGTGGTCCCCGGTTTTACCTCGTTATAATTGTTCTGAAATTATATACAATTTGGTTACTGAAAATCTAGTAAAAATATATACATCGTATTCAATGGGTATAATACTGAACCAGTGTAATACAGTATTATTCAAATATAACTATTAAATATATTATATTATAAAAATATAAATTTAAAATATATAAATATAAATTAATATTAATTTTGTACTTACATCGCTTTCAGTCATTCATTCTTCGTAATCACTAATGTTCGAATTAGAAAATGACATTTTTTTTTAAATATATCTTTAACAGTATATAATTTGTAGCTAAAATACGTTGAGTGGATTTAAGTTCTACCTCTAAAAGTGACTTGCTATTTGTATTTTCTAATCAATTTATATTATATTAAGTCCAATAGTAATAATAATAATAGGTATAAATAGTAATAGTAGTGGACAGCGTCTGCAATAACAAGATACGGATATAGTTTTTTTATTATTTTTTTTATTAATTCTTGAAATTGAGCATTATAAAACTCTGACCGCAGTCTTTGATAATATTGTCATATGTTATATAAACGTTTCGTCGAAGCTGATATTATATAATGTGTATTATATATATTATTATAAAAACTAATAACCATTAACCTTACATTGATAATATAATTTTTTAGGAAGTAATAATAATTTAAATTACTGTTACGTTAATGAACAGATCTGCCGCAGTCTTTAATGTTTAATAAAAAAAAACAAAAAAAAAAAACATTGATAACACTGCAATATAGACGTTTAGTCGAAGCGAATATTATATAATGTGTATTATATAAATTATTATAAAAAACTAATAACCACTTCAACGAAACGTGTATATAACAGTACTCATATTATCAGGGAGTCAACATTTTCATCTTAAACATTGTGTTGACAGTCTCACAAACTTATAATATATCATATTCTCTCACAACGCTCAACACAAACATACACGGAAAAAAGTTCAATTTTTTTCAAATATTTCAACTTCTCAAATTAACAATGTAAGTATATAATATCATTAGTATAGCTATTATTTTTATAAAAAAATTATTATAGGTAGGTATGCGTACGTTACATATGGAACGAATCAAACGAATACGTGTACAATATTCAATTAAAATAGAAAT